GGGTAAGTTCCTCTTGCTTGTTTCCCATACTATGAGCATTAGTACAAGGCCTGCTTGCTCTGGCTATGGGTCCAGTGTCTGCTTCTGAGCAAGGTATTCATCTCATATGCCTGCAGGACTTGGCATCATTTACATCTGAATTGTCTTGCAGGCAATGAAAGTTCTTTCCAAAAAGAAGCTGATGAGACAAGCAGGATTCCCACGTAAGTGATGTATGGCTGCGTGGCCTGTGGAGACCTGGCAAGGTCTGCTGCTGCTCAACTGTGGGCTGTCACAGCGAGGTGGGAGCATCTGGCTGCACAGTCTCTGACAGCAGTTATCCAACATACAAGTTGGCTGTTCTAGTCGAAATGTGCCTGGTGTCACTGCTGGGTTTGAGAGTGTCTCAGGTTTGGGGTGGGGGCTGGTGTCCTGGAGGAGACACAGCTGGAGGGCTACAGCCCTAGCATGGGAAGCAGAAGAGCTAGGCTCTAACACAGACTCTGTGCAACCTTGGGCAAGTCGCTTAACTCTGCCATGCCTTGATTTCCTTTTCTGTCCTATAACAGGGCACTACAGAGTACAAGTCAGAGCAGAACTGGGTTAGTGGCTCTGATGGCCTCTGCTGACAAGTTCTCTTGCCAAAAGGGAAGGGTTAAAATTTTGATCTGTGCATCGTGCACTAACCTGTAGTGTGGCCCTCGCACCTTACTGCACTTGGGTGACAGTATTTGTCTTGTTCAGGTCCTTGATAATCGCATGTATTAAGCAGCAATTTTTTTCCTTTAAATGATCCTTATTAGTGTACGCTGCTCTTCACCAGGGCCATTCAGATTCATGCTTCTGAAAGATGCATAGCACCTGGCACCCCCAGAGGAGTCAGTAGGAGCAGTGACCTCCCTGCAACTCAGGGTATCGGGGCTTTCATGCTGCGACCACCCATGAGATGACACCTTGGCTCAGCCATGTTGATTAGTTGTGCTTTATGCTACCTGTCTCACCTACCTTTACACTTTCAAACAGGCCGCCCACCTCCTCGGGGAGCCAGAGCCATGCCTCAAGGCTGTTCCCAACCAAAAGGGCCAATTGAACAGGTGTACCAAGAGATTGCCATCTTGAAGAAGCTGGATCACCCAAACGTGGTGAAGCTGGTGGAGGTGAGACCAGTACAGATGTTCATTTGTGACTGTGCTTTCAGTGCAGGCCAGGGGCAGGTAGTGTTCATCATGGGAACTGAGCGCACCGTGACCGTTTTGTCATCCCAAGCATCTTTCCAAGGCACAGCTCTCCTGTGTGGCTGAGGGGCTGGCTCTTAAGCTCAGTAATGCTTATTCAGAGCATTCATTTAGCTTGGCACAAGCAACAGCTGTGCCTTGTTTGCAGAGGTACATGGAATTGCTTTTCAATGTTACATCTGCAGCCTGTTTCCTGAACACACCTAGTGGGCATGCAGTCCAGCTGTGCTTGGAAGCCAAGAATAAAAGGGCTTCTGTGCCAAGAGGCACACATTCTGCACTGATCTGGAAAGAGCAGAGGAAAGTTGCATGGGTGCAGCTGAGCAAGACTTACAGGGCTTTCTCTTTGGCACTTCCCAGATCTCAGACGCTTGTTTCCCTTCTCATTTTAAAGGGTGACTTTTGGGGAAGTCAATTTCGTTCTCTTGTCACCTTGAATGCAAAAACTTACTGGGGAATTTTGAAAGGGCAAGAACATTTCAGGGAGGAAGGAAATGGCATTTCCAAGGGCCCTGATGAAGCAAGAATGAAAGACCTCACGTATATTCCAAGGCACTGCTGTTGTTTGTTTGTTGTAGGGAGGCAGGAAAAGATCTATTTCGTACTCGTGTGAAGAAAGTGTTGTGGATGCCAACCATGTTCCAGAGTCCTGAAGCAGTCTGTCTGCACCCCCAGGGCCCAAGTACTTCCTATGCAGTGCCGAATTGGCTTGAATAGGAGTTGAGGGCACTTAGCAACTTTCAGGATGAGGCCCAAAGACAGAAAGATTTCTATTCATCCCCATAAGTGATGCAGTACAGGAGTCTGTGCTGGTCTGCATACTTAGCATCACAAGGAACCCTCCAGGCTCTCTGTCACAGAACCTGCAGGGAGCTAGATGTGATTGTAAATAGTCTTTCAAGGCCACATGCCCAAGCATCTCGCATGAGATTTTATTCTGAGTTGGTGAATCATCCACACATCCCAGTTTGCTCTTCCTGCATCTGATGTAGAACTGTAGCATGTCCCTTGGAGGATTTCTTTGACACTTGTGTTTTTTCCAGTTTGGTTCTTTTTATGCTTCATCCTTTAGACATGAATTAGAGAAGTTTCAATAAACCCGATGCTAGATTTGACATTTGGCTCCAAAAAAATCTATATTGGCTGGCTAAAACTGTCCATGCCAAAAATATCAACATTGAAGAATGTGCAGACTTAAATTAGCTGGTTTACCAGAGATAAATATTTAACCATACAGGAACTATTATTGCCTTGTGTTCCAGCTACATCTTTTTCCCTTGAGAATGGAGAATAATGTGATTAGCAGAGTTCAGAGGTACATTTTAAATTAAAATAGTGGAGTTTCTAAAAGACAATGACTGTGAGAAATGCACCACTTCTAAAATTGGAGCTGCTGACCTGGCCATTAAAGAAATTGAGACTTTCTAAGCTTTATTTGAAGTGTAATTAAACTGGCATCCACAAGGCAAAACTCATTTTACTTTATTTCTTCATAAACTGCCTCATTCTGTTTTATTCCTATCTATCCATTTATAAACAGGCATCGAACAGTAAAGTAGTCTCTGCACTGCCTGTAGTTACATCACAGGTCTCTGCCACATACCGCCCGAAGTTCTGAACTGAATCATGCTCTGCATTTACCACTAACGGAGACTTCCCTCTTACCTCAAGCAGTAAGGACCTCACATCTTAGAGCAAGATGAGCCATATTCTATCCCCAGTGACGTTGAGGTTACCTGGCTGCAGTGTTTATTATAGAGACAGCCATGACGTCTGAGGTGGTTGCTGACTTGTCACTGTGTACTGGGGCTCACACACGCTGTGTGCCTCTGACGCATCATACATACTGTCTAATACATGTAGGATGGATGTAAGCCTTAGGTGTTAATTTGGGGCTTTTATCCCTGTGGCTGATGCATTATACGCAGTATTTTGTGGTGGGTATAATATAACAAGGGTATGGGCTTGTGGAAATATACATTGCTTCTCCCCCACGTGGAGTCATTTCTATTCCTTTTAACTTGTGTTGGCAGGTGCTAGATGACCCCAGCGAAGACCATCTGTACATGGGTAAGCAGGCCGTTTTTTCCTCCTGCCCTGCTGGGCCTGCCACATGGCAATAACAGTGTTTGATGTTGGGTTTGTTTGTTTTTTTGGTGAGAATCTCACTCTGTGGCAGTATAAAGCATTTCCCACGGTTTTCTGGGGAAGATTGGGGAGCAGGTTAGGCAAGCAAAGCGGTTGATATCTAAAAAGATTCAGTGTATGGTGGCAAAGTAATTGAAGAAAACTTGTGACAATGAGAGTTTCTCTGGTGTCGGAATATGAGATAAACAGGTCCCCTTTAATTACAGGAGCATGCGTGGGACCCTGCACCTGTTCAGAAAGAGATCAAACAGGGCACTGCCCAGTGAGCCTAGACTTAGCAGGAAGCCAGCTTGTAATTAGATGTCTGGGACCACTTGAGAAAGCCAGGTGTCCAGTTGTAACCTGTAATGCTCTTAACTACTACCCTCTTGTCTTACCCAAAAGCTGGGTAAGCACTGTTTCAGTTTCTGAGGAGGTGCTGGCATAGCTGCACACTCTTTCATGGAAAGACCTGCCCTCCCCACTGAGCTGACAGGGAGCCAGAGTTCAAGGAAAAAAGTGATTGTTTAGCTAGCCTGCCAAGGAGGGTTTCATTGATGGTGAGCCTGACCACTCCCATCCGTGCTTTTCAGGCTTTACAGAGAGTGACTGAGGCACAGAGAGGGTAAAGTGCCCCACCCAAGAGCCTCTAGGTTTGTGGCAGAACTGGAACATAGGAGTTGGCCATCCCTGCTCTGACCAGGGACCCGGTTTGGTTGGTGCCTTCACTCTGAAATTGACCAGTACTAGACCCACGTACCACTTATTTTTCTACCTTCAAGCTTTGCCTGCACTAGCCTGGGGGCTTTGACTTGAGGCAGAGGCACAACAGAAATAAATTGTAAGATAACGTGGCTGTCTGTTGTGGGCACCTCCTCCTGCAGCCACGTTCTTGCTGTTTCCTTTAATGAAGGAGGCAGTGTTCAGTGGCTGGCTACAGCAGAGCATTAGCAGTCTGACCTGGGTATCACACTCTGCTTGGCCACTGATACCCTTTGTGTGTCGCTTAACTTCTCTGTGCCTCAGTTACCCCAGCTGTATGACAGGGAGACTCCTAAAGTATCAAAAGGCTTGAGAAATGTTGGCAGAGCATTAAGAGCTCCCCCAGGCTAGAACTGCAAAGACTCCTCATCAGACAGTGTGCTTTGAAGTGTCTTCCTCCTCCTTGGAGTTCAGCTCCTCCAGCCATTGTAGTTCCTTCCTGGTGGAGCATTATGGAGTCTTTAGGCCACAGTGCCTGTAAGGTACTAACCCTGCTTGAAGGAACGCGGGCATCATGTCAGCAAAAGTTTTGAGAGCTCACTGATTCATCCTCCTTGATTAGAATGACCTGTGCTGCTTCCCCTGTCTCCCTAGAATTGTTTAGCAGTTTGTACCCGAAAATAGACCTGTTTGAGGAAATTAATCAGTCTTGACAATATTCCCTGAAGTATGTTGCCTCATATTGCTCAAAACCACTTACAGTGATGATTGTGATACAGATATCCCTCTTAAATAACACAGAGCCGAGCTGATACCTGCCAGATGACCAGTGAAGGCTGATTTCCACTCCTGCCATGATGCCTTTTCTGATCGCTGGCTGAGTTCATTAGCATATCAGTCTTGCTGTGATTCCGGCTTTTATTAATGTAATCCACACCCTGAAGGCCAAGTTTTCTCATACTGGCAGCTGTTATTCCTAAAAATATGTTAATGAAGGCTCTGCCATCCTCTCTCAGACAGAGTAATGTCCTTATTAGTGCTGTTAGTTTTAGTGGGGCAGCAATCAGAGTTTCTGTGGAAGATTTAAGCCTTCACTTCTCTACTATGTATGAGCTGGAGGTGGGGGGGAGTGTGTTTTGCATGTTCCACTTGGGCACAAACTTTTTATTTTCCTGGTTCAAAGGTATTTAAAATATACATCATTTATCTGAGAAACTAATGGGTTCCTTCAAAGCTTCTCTTCAAGAAACATATATAAACGTTTTCGCTGGGGGACGGCTTTAGTTTGTTTCTAGTTAAATATAGTTTTCATTGCCTATACCTTGCTCTGGATTTCTGACCTGAGGGTGGAGCAGCGTGTTGATGGAAAAGCTTTAGTTTGCTTAGAATTGTTTCTACTGTCTTTGCATGCTCAAAAGTGGTAGTGAGCAGGTTATCAGTCCGACACTACAAGGATTCTGAACTATTCGACATGAAGTAAGAAGGCAGATGGTGTTGGACCCTTTGAAGCAGTGTTGGTCATTGTCCATCCAGTTTCTCTCTGTGCATGTTGGGTGTGTCCTGATGCAGAGACATCTTCATGCCAGGCTTTGTGTATGCATAAATACTTTTTAAAAAACAAAATGCCAAAAGTGATTCTTCCCTAGTCTGAGTTAGCTTCATTTGGTGAAGTCCAGATTCTCTGCTTTAATCAAAGACACAAGAACATCCCAAACTCCGCATGTCCTATTCAACATGGCATTTAATTACTAAACATCTTTACATAATTTAGCTATAAAAATAATTGGTTTTCTGCAGGGAACTTGTCTGCAGCTTTTCCAGCCTATAACTATTCACCTTTTATTTTCTTTGGTTTTTCAGTGTTTGAACTGGTAAAACAAGGGTAAGTATTGAAATATGAGGTAAGAACTAAAAAAGGTGAATCGATTGCATACATTTCATGTGTGTTTCAGTTTGCTTGGGACAGTACATAGTATAGGCCAAAGTCAGAGATATTATGCTAGGTGTTAATCTAGACCTCACCCTCACCCTCACCTTCACCCTTGGACATGGGCAGACTCCTCTTCACTTATCTAGCTACTGATGAGTAAGGGAGTCTAAATTGGTGTAGTTTTACATGCCAAGGAGCCTGGAGAAGGTGGAAGTTAAAGTAGGTGGGTCTCTTGCATTCTCTTGCTAGTTGCTTTTCTTGCTATGCTTCTCTCTCCTGGCCTCCATGTGAGTTGCATCAACTCAAATTAAATTGCAGTTGTCCCAAAATATAGTTGCTGTCTGTGCTTTGTGCCTGTTGGCCAGGTGCCAGGTACGGCCTCCCCAGTTTCATCCCTCGGTCTTCCTTCTCCAGGGTGCCCCACTTACCCAGAAGCATTTTTACTGTAACGGGCACTTTCCTGGCTGTGCTCATGCTCTTCTCACTTGATGCCTCTAAATTTAGGCCCGCTGGGGCAGGTAGCCACTGTCTGTGGGCACCAGCCTTCCTCAGCCCAAGGCATGTATATTTATCTCACTTTATAATATTATAGCCATAATACTAATGGACAGGGCTCTGATGTTTTCATTCAATCCTTGCTCAACCACTGTTCTTATTGACTTTACCAAGAGGGAGGCCCTTTCTTTTTTCCTGAGCCACACTCGCCCTCTCTAGGGATGGGAGTAGATGTGGGAGTGGGAACTGTAACCTGGTTACACGGAGCAACAGGTGCGATCCAAACCTCAGTCCTGGTCTCCAGGGTGCATGCATCTCCACTTGCAGGAGTGAAAGGGTGGCTTTAAGCTGTCTTTCTGCTCACCCAGACTGTTCCCCAACACTGTAATATAGAGGAGCTTGAGGAGCATTTACAGCAGATAGGAGTTGCTGCAGATCAGGGAAGCCCCAGCCGTGTTCCCAAAGCCAACCAACAAGAGACGGGCAAGGCCTGGAGCTATTTCATTTGTTCTTCACTAACTGAGGATCTTCTGTGCTGATCCAGTCCCTCAGCGCCCTGCTTTGGTGGCATCAGAGATGCTTTGCAACACTCGTGGTACAAAGTGATCTCATACAATCAAGGATCAAGTCCATATAATCTATTCCCTTATAGCTGCCCTGGGACTTGAGTTTTAGGCACTGCCTTTTGTAGGCAGAAGCAGAGTTAGAATAAGGTCCCTAACTCCTGTGTTTGATTTATGTTTCCTGTCCACACCTGTAATTGAAAACCACAGGTCAACATGCTGAACCACAAGCCCAAAAAATCTGTGGTACAGCCAGGGCCTAGTAGGTTTTGTTTTCCTGGAGTGCCATAATCTGCAGCATCTACTGAAGGGCAGGAGCGCCTGGGTATGAAGGGGAGGGGCTGGGTGGCTAGCATCACGGGATAGGGAATCCAGCATGTGGTTTGGTTGGAGACATGCTCCTATCTTTGTATACCAGGAAAGGAGCTGCTGGGGTCTGGTCCATTCCAAACTGCCTTTATCTCACTGGCTTTTTTTCTGTGCTTTGCCTTTGCAGGCCTGTCATGGAAATCCCAACCTTGAAACCTCTCACTGAAGATCAGGCGCGGTTCTACTTCCAGGACCTCATCAAAGGCATTGAATACTGTAAGCTTCCACATGAAAGTGCTGAGATCCTTAAAAGATTGGGCCAGAGTCTGAGGTGGCCTTAAGTCACAATTTCTCACTTTGAGTCAGTGGGGCTGTCTCATTTACCCCCGCTAAGGATTTGGCCCTTAATTGCACTGGCACTGTTAAGCAAGGTTGGCATTCCAGTAGTACACTTAACTGTTCTCCGCTTCTTTCCGCTGTGCTACAGGCACATACTGCCACTTAAATATCTTACTGCTTCTCTCATCACAGTGCACTATCAGAAGATAATCCACCGGGACATTAAACCTTCCAACCTTCTTGTGGGGGAGGATGGCCACATCAAAATCGCTGACTTTGGCGTGAGCAATGAGTTCAAAGGAACAGATGCCCTTCTAACCAACACAGTGGGCACCCCTGCATTCATGGCCCCAGAAACACTCTCAGAAACCAGAAAAATCTTTTCTGGAAAGGTATATTGCAGTGGCGTTAGGTCTTTTTCAAATGTTTATGTGTATGTGTAACTACCTGCCCATTTTTCAGCCTCTAATTGTAAGAGCTTGGTATTAACTGTGTTCTCTTTCTTTCCAAGGCTTTGGATGTCTGGGCCATGGGGATCACGCTGTACTGTTTTGTGTTTGGGCAGGTAATGAGAGCTTCTGTCTAGTCCTGTTCAGTGGTTCAGCACGACTCTACTTGATAGAAGGGTGTGCAGGTTGTTTTGCTTGGTGAAGCTAACGTCAGGTCACCCCACCCCACCTCCATCCTCATTAAAGCCACATGCCCGGACACGTGTTCAGGGTCCCAAGTATCCAGGATCAAAGGGACAGAAGAAACATAGCCTTAATCTACTCCCCAACTGAGCTGTGTGCTACTGCCTCCTTTTTCCATGCGGTATAAGAGCCACATAGCCTGTGTAACCATGGTGCAGACACACAACCTTTTAGACGAGTGCTATCTGCCTGTACTCAAGTGTAAAAGTGGAGCACACGTGCAACAAAGAGCCCTGCTCTAATGTAAAGCTACTGCTTGAAAAGAGTGTAGTTGGTACACTGTATTACGTCAGTCTGTGTTGTTGCCACAGCTCCCTTTGCTCAAACTGTTACTCGCTCTGCCTTCACCTCATGCTGAGGCACTCTCGTAGTCTACAGTCTGCTACTCCAGAGTAATCTGGTCATCTGTCCGCTCTGGATCCTAGTGTAGAGTGGCGTTTGGTGTAAATTGTCCTGGTAACCGGTGAGTGCTGCAGTTATTCCTGTCTGGAATCACTGATACCATTCAATTTAAAATCTATAACATGAATCAGGGAAACTCACCAAAATCACAAATGGCCAAGGCCTGCTGTAATAGTAATGGAGTTGCTGAAAGTCCAAGTCAAGGGGTGAGCCTTGCCCCAGGCTTTGCACATCACCAAACACTACATTCATCTGACCAGCGGAAAACAATTCTACTGGAGAGACAGCCCATAGAGATCTTACCTACTGAGTGGGTCACTGAGGGAGATGCCTTAGCCAAGGATACTGGAAACTGGATGGCTCTGTCTGGCTCCTTTCCAGGCCAGGGGGGCTGATCTGAGAGGCCTTGATCATGGAATGTTCCCCTGGCTTTCAAAAACCCCAAGGATTATATGTTTAGGTCTGGCCATAATGTTCAAGTGGGAGCAGTTGCTAGTCTCAACTTCGAGCATATGCTGCATAAAGATATTGTGTTCTTTATTGTTTTGAAATAAAGTTGAGCACGGTAATGAGAAGTTTCCATGGATGATACACTCTTCCCAAACGTACTCTTTTCTCAAAGCCTGCCTGGTTCTTTCTGAGCTGTGTGACACGTTCTCCTGAGCACCTGGCTTAGCACACAACAAAACTTGTTGCTTACTGCTGTTTTCCTGTTGTTAGTGCCCCTTTATGGATGAGAGGATTCTAAGTTTGCACAACAAAATCAAGACCCAAAGCTTGGAATTCCCAGATCAGTGAGTACTGAGAAGCCTTCTAATTACTCATGCGCCTCAGAAAAGGAACACTTGTTTCCTCCAACTCCCATAAAGCATTTCCTGGTTAGGGGACCGGACCTGATCCAGTGAGGTTTTATAAAACCAAAAGCTCAACCACAAGTACTTGTCTCTTGCTAAGGCCAAGTGCAGCAGCAGTTCCCTCCAAGCATGAGGTCAAAGCTTATCGATTTAGAAATGTTGGGGAAAAAAAGAGATTTAATTTCCAGAGACATGATGGGAATCAATTAACCTCTCCAGTAGCCACATGGTTTCTAGTCTGGGTTGCTTTCTTGTCTGTCTGATCTTTCCCTGCACTCTGATCAGACAGAATATAAAAACATGAAATTATACTATTGGACTGCAAGCCATTGGAGTGGGGGTTACTTCTTCCTTGTTGAAGCTTCATCAGGCCCTGCTACATTGGGTTGGGGAGAGGAGAGCCTCACTTCCCAGGGCAGTCAGCAAATAGAGATGTAACTATTAGGCTGTGTAGTGCTTCTGGCGCCCAAACTTTTGCTGCTCCATAATGCCTTTCACCATGTAATCCCACTGCTGACCTCTGCCAGTTTTGGTCAGGGCTTGGCTGAAGTGAGTCTTGAACCCTGGATTTTGGGATTGGGCTCCATGGTGCAGCAGCAGTGGGTGTGAATGATCCCCAAAGGCTGCTCCGTGTAGCACTAGCCTGAGCCATCTCCTCTAGCACAAAGCATCCTGCCCAAACCTCCCTGCTCTCCCCAGTCCCCAAGATAAGCTCATGTGATAGTGCCTCTCAGTGAGAAGTTGCTGTGGATTCTTTAACTCTTCGTTCATGCTCATTTCCTCAAGACCAGAAATTACAGAGGAGCTGAAGGATCTGGTTACGCGGATGCTGGATAAAAACCCTGAAGCCAGGATTTCAGTCCCAGAAATCAAGGTACTTGTTGGTCAGACGTGAAGCCTTGCTGGTGAGTTCTGACCTGACTGTTGTCCTGAGCTGTTAATTTATTGGGTTTTCTTTGCTTGCATTTTTTCTGGGCTCAGTTTGACCCCCCATTGCTAGCCCCACTCCCCCTCAAGGGCCGCCTTCTTAAGGGAGTTGTTTGACTCATTTTAGGGCTTTATATCTGGAAGGTCAGAGTGATGACCATACATCTAGTAAAGCCCAGAGAGGGGTGTGGAAGCCATGTTCCCCTGCAAGTGTTACCTAGTGTGAGCCCTCTTGCTCCTGTGCAGTTGGAGTCCTGGTTCACTTGATCAGGACCTGGACCTGTGTTTGCAGCTTTTTGGCTCTGCTGTCATGGCTAGAGACCATCTCCAGGGCCAAGGATTTTGGTACTGCTTGTTCTTGCTGCTATGGGCTGATGGGGTAGGCCTTTCTCTCACCCTCAGATGCTCACAGGTTCTCACTACTGCATCTGGAAAGAAGAGCTGCACTTGCTGTGTCTGTGTTCTTTTACTGATGAAAAAGAGGAAATGGCTTCTGACAGCCTGCATTATGCATTGCAGTTACACCCCTGGGTCACCAAGAATGGAGTGGAGCTGTTGCCGACAGAGGATGAGAACTGCACACTTGTTGAGGTCACTGAAGAGGAGGTCGAGAACTCTGTCAAACACATCCCAAGCCTGGCCACAGTGGTGAGTTCTGGGGACAGCAGTGTGCTCCATACATGCCTGGGAAGGACTTCAGGATGGCTACCCCCACCTGGCAGCACTGATTGCT